TAGTAACAAAAGTGACCATTCAGTATTCAGCGAACTTGGTTCGCATGAATTCAAAACGCCCCGAACCAGAGATGAGCCGTTCTGTGGGTGGCTAATCTCTGCAGAGATGAGACAAGGCGCAACAAATAATCCGTGCGGAACACGTTTTCTGGAAATTTCCTGAAAAAAATACATCAATGATCAACACACGCACAATACACATTTTTATACGGCTATAACACAAAATTACTCTTGTTTTACTGTGTTCAATGAATCAGTTAGGTATACTTTGTATGGGTGCCATTTTTATTTCCGTATCGGATATCTACGAAAGCACCCTGGTGTCACGCATACATTTCTTTTTTGAAAAGTAATTATAATGACTATTTTCTCATTATATTGACTTTTTTCTCATTATAATGACTTTTTTCTCATTATAATGACTTTTTTCATTATAATGACTTTTTTTTATATAAGAAAAAGTCATTATAATGAGAAATAGTCATCATAACGGTAATGCAATAGGAAGATACAACATTGATTGACATATTCGTACAAGGTGATCTTGTAGTTATCATACCTACAGAGAGAACTCACAATCTACGATATTATATTTGTTCCGACATAATATTCTGCCATCATTTATACATGAAAATGTTTATAGATCGATATGGACTATTAGAAACATTCCATGAACTTTATTCAGAAATAAAACAATTTAATCAAAACACCAAGACTGAAAGTAGAAAAATCAAATTTTTAGATGAACACTATCTAATATGATGAGTATACCTAATATACAGGGTGTTCCGGTGATCATGTTACAAACTTCTAGGGTAGATAAAACACACGAAAATAAAAAAAAAAGTTCATGTGAACATGGGTCCGGAAACGCTTTTTCAGGGAGCTAGGGCCCTTCGAAGATGACCTTCAAAAACTACTTTTCGTTTTATAGCTTATTCGGTACTACTGCAGCTATCGCAACCAATTTTGGGACATGAAATCTAGTTCATAGGTTCATCAATCTGAGCCTTCCGGATTTTGTCACTCTTAACCAGGGGCGTACAAACCAGGGGGGTATTTGGGTAAATTTGACCCTACTCCTCTTAGGCTTCAATTTCTTACCATTTTCATATCTGATTATGATTCTCCAATTAGTTTTACATAAAAAAGGTACTCTTGTAAAAATCGCTATCTGTCACCGTTTCCTCCGAAAATGGCTGAATCCAATCAATAATAAATTATTGGTCCTAAACCAATTATTACGTTGAAATATGAAAATGAGGTTCAGTACAGATAGTGAGCATTATTAGTTAGTCAAATCTTCTTCTTTAATGAAAATAAATTAGATTAGAGAAATTTATTGCCTTCTAGAAATTGGGGGAATAAAAAGTAAAAGGAAACGTATACAAAATATTTCAAAAAAAAAACAATTAAACCTACACAAGCAAAACTAATAATGAATTTGCAATAAATCATTCACGAGCACCAATGAAAAACTCAAAGTTTTGAAGTTTCAAAAGTACAAAATAAACAAGTAACACAAACAGGTTTAACGATAGTGAGTCAAGGATAAGGCAGAGTAAATTTTTGTCTTGAAGATGAATTTACTAACGCTGTCGTTGACTGACCCTGTACGTACCAAAATAAATTCAAAATAACAATTGCTGAAAATGCCTTCCACCCCGTTCAATATACATTTATTACGCCTACGTAGCAAATTTAAATTGACGTCAGTGAAAACATCAGGCATGGTTTGGATCATTTCAGCCGCAACAGAAATCCTAGCCACCAAATCTTCCTCCGACTGAACTGGAGTTTCATATACAAGGCTTTTCATATGTCCCCAAAGAAAGAAATCCATAGGAGTTAAATCTGGGGACCGGGCTGGCCAGTTGACATCGCTTCCACGTCCAATCCAACGTCCTCTAAAACAGCGTGTGAGCAGGTACACGCCTTCAAGGAAACCGCTCCTGATACAATCTTGAAGCGGCTCTTCCATTGCAATGAACTTCGCCATAAATTAATAGCATATCGGCATATTCGGCGAGAGTATAATCCATGATTCAATGGCGACACAATATTTTATTGACAGATTTTTGACAATTATCTGTACTGAACCTCACTTTCATATTTCAACGTAATAATTGGTTTAAGACCAATAATTTATTATTGATTGGATTTATCCATTTTCGGAGGAAACGGTGACAGATAGCGATTTTTACAAGAGTACCTTTTTTATGTAAAAGGCACTGGAAAATCATAATCAGATATAAAAAAGGTAAGAAATTGAAGCCTAAGAGGAGTAGGGTTAAATTTACCCAAATACCCCCCTGGTTTGTACGCCCCTGGGTGAAGGTGACAAAATCCGAAAGGCTCAAATTGATGAACCTATGAACTAGATTTCACGTCCCGAAATTGGTTGCGATAGCTGCAGTAGTACCGAAGCTATAAAACGGAAAGTAGTTATTGAAGGTCATCTTCGAAGGGCCCTAGCTCCCTGAAGAAGCGTTTCCGGACCCATGTTCACATAAACTTTTTTTCTTATTTTCGTGTGTTTTATCTACCCTAGAAGTTTGTAACATGATCACCAGAACACCCTGTATATTGCCTATACATCATCATATAACATAACATACATAACATACATTTTCTCATAATTATCATTAGATATGCGATTCGAATTTACCGCCAAAGCCAAAATCAACCTGATTGGTCTAAAAGCTTGCCTATGCCTGTTATCGGGGCGTTTTGAATACGTGCCAATTGGTAATCAAAATTGACATTGACACTGGGTGAACACAAAATGATGTAGTTTTCAATAAAAATAATTACACAAAACTGGCTTTGTAACATTTATTATTATTGTTACTCATAGCAGCCCTCAACCACATAATTCGTCTAGAGAATCCATCTACACATCCATTAATTGCAATGTCATATGGTTTTAATTTGTCATAAGAATCAATAATATGCCACATATAATTTGGTCCTTTATTATGATATGCCCTTCGTCTCAGCTTATTTCTCGAACGCAGTTCAACTCCTTCTGGGTCTTTTTCCTTCAGGAGACGCCTCACAGTGTTTATTTTGACTACCAAACCATTTTGTAAACATTTCAGGTGCATCCATCGATATCCATGCAGACTACCTGAACCAAGTATTTGTTGGCCAATGAAGTCTGATATAATTGTTAGGTCTGTGTAATTTTTCCTTCGATACAAATTAAGTTGTTTCAAGTACCTTTTCAACTGCCTTTCACTGATCAGAATGTCATGTAACATCAAAAATGCTTTTACTTCGGAAAGATTGAATCCTACCTGAAAGTATCGTTTGATTAACTGCTTCACTTCTACCATGATATCAATTTATAAAAGATATCATGCAAAATTGAGTAACGTTGTCGAAAGTTCAGAACTTCAGAACATGACAACCTAATAATATGTAGAAAGGTATTTCATTTCATTTTTCATCTATGGTCATTTTACATTTACACACCACACAGTACACACCATCACACCAAAGAGGGGAGGGTTCTTTTTCTCTATGAAAGTACAAATCCACAGCCCTTGTCCTTATTGGTCACATCTTGATCACGTGATCTGGCGCAAACGCAGTCACTATTCTTGACTCCACGAACAATAAAATACACTTGGCATCACAGCAGCCGGAAAAAATATCTCTATGATTTTTATAAGCGGCTCTGAAGGGACATGGGAGATATTTTTTTAAAATTATTTCACATTTTACTTTAGCAGCCCCGAAGGGACATAAAAATGTGGGAGATATTTTTTTAAAAAATATCTCACCATGTCCCTTCAGAGCTTTCGTAGAAATCAACTGGTCCTTGTCATAATATCATTATTGTATTCAAAAAAAAAATCTTGATAAAAAAAAACATAAAATTTAACAAAAACAATTATTTCTTTCACGTTTTTGTTTTTTAAAGTCGGATAGTCAATATAGCGGCGCTATGCTTCCGGGCAGTTTTTGTCAGTTAGCCTGTATATTTATGAAATATATTGTATATTTTGAACTTGTTCTTTTTTAAACAGGAATTTTGATACTTGAAACAAAACTGAATATTATAGTATATGTTTCCTAGAATCAATTTTTCTGAAAAAAGTATGTGTTTTTCAGATGGAACCAATGAAAATTCCTTTCTTTTTTGCTAAACTCAATGGGTCGCGACTTCCGATGGCCCCCTCCTCAAACATCGCCTGGATCCGCCCGTTGCAGTGAGCGAAGCTCTCGACCGGAAATATTCTGTCAACTTGTTTTTGCACGGATTATTTGTTGCATTCTGTCTCTTTGCGTTCTGTTTCTAGACTCTAGTTTCTAAGAATGATGGAAGTAAGATACTTCCATCATTTTTCTAAGTATAGATGATTCATCTTTGCAGGTAGTATTGAATTCGTGAGACGTGGATGCGCTACAAAGTTCTCCCACCACCGCGATGATTATTTCTAGTACTACTGTGTCGTGTGCCGTCCGTGTCTCTAAACTGCGTTGTATCAAACTTTTTACGTTTCGCATTCTGGGAAATGCAGAATCTGGAATTGACATGGCGCAAAAAGCTGAGAATGACATGTGTTTCAGTTTAATTTACTTTCAATTTCAGATTCCGCTTCACCAATCAGAATACGAAACGTGAAAAGCAAAACGTAAAAAGTTTGGTTGTGTACCCTGCTTAAGAGTCTAAAGGCTAGTCCGTCTCTTTCTTCTCTCTTATCGAATGATTGCCGGTTGCCGGTCGGGTTGGAAGCCGGAAAGTCAGAATGTTAGACACTCCTTGAACATTTTAGGATTTTAGGTTATAACTTATAAATTTTTGCTTGAATTTTTGAAAAAAGAACATGTTAGTAAAAATCCGACATTTTCACCTCATCCTGTATTCAGTTGATGAAACGAATCATCAATGATGAACCAAAATTACCTACATAAGTCCTTAGTACTTATAGGTTATGTTATTAAATTGTTAAATTTCATCAAAACAAAGAATGTATTCTCATGATTCTTACCATCACCAGTATTTAGTCGATTCAAAAACTTCACTATTCCATTTTTATCCATAATAAATGTTTGTTCAGGTACATCTTCCCTATATTTGAACAATTTTATATCTGCCTCACAACTGTTGCTTTCCCTCTCTTTATTTACAGGTATGAGACTAAAATATGGAATGAGACCGAACGACCGAACTACTGAAGTACTGAACTAGTACTAGCATAGAGAAAGGAAAAGAAAAGGGACTGAACAAGAAGAGTGATGCAGATACATGAAGATGTTAACACATGATATAATATGAAACTTAAAGATAGATAAAAGTAGACAAAATAAAAATGAAACTTCACATGGAAAATAAAAAATTTATTTGTTTAAATCCATAATTTTACTTAATAATATGAAATTGAATATAATTTAAAGTAGACTAAAAAGGTTAAAATGTATACACTTTTCCACCACGAAGAGCTAGTACTAAATGAAGAACAGAGCCTCCCTGAACTTTATAGTCTTGAGCTGTTTTCTCATCATTCCTGTAAAACAGATAATGAAATCTTTGAGCAGTGAATTCAGGATCGGGATGCAGAGACATCAATATATTTATTGCTTACATCTGTTTTCCTGAAAAGATTAACCTCTGTTGTTGTGGGGGAATACCTTCCTTCTCCTCAACTCTTTCTTTTATTCGTTCTACTTTGTCTGTAGGCTCTATATCAATCTCAATTTCTTTGCCAGTGAGAGTCTGAAATTGATCATTTGGAATGATGTGCTAGGTGGGTACATAGAATTTACATACCTTCACTTTGATGAGCATTTCAAAGACGAAAATTAATAATTGGTATTCTATAATAATTTGAATGCTCCAGGGGCTCCAGGTAAAGTATTAACGATCGTATTTACGAATATATCGAAAATTATTCGAAATCTCGAAAAGTAAACTATGAATGAGAATTAGGGTTAAAGGCATAAAACTATGAAATAGTATGAAATGTAAAAGTGTTCCATGTCCAAGATGTGTTCTTGTCTTCGTGGAGTCTCTCGCCAGTCATGACACAAGTGGCATGCTACTGGTTGTGAATGTGGAATGTGGTCTGTTCATTTGTGTCCTTGGCGATCAAATCATACCAATGACGTACCAAAGCAGATTGTAGAGCTTGGATTGTTTGTCTATGGATTGTAGCTACCGCTAGAATCACTGGATGGTATAAGTTATCATATATAATACCACAAGTGATATATTGGATCAATGTCATGAGCGAAATTAGAGCAGCAAGCTGGAGTATGTCAATCGACGAATATTTCCAGGAAAAATATAGTATCACGAGTTGTATTCGTATGACTATTTCATGATTGAATGGGACAAAATATATATAAGAAATGGGAAACATAATTTAAGTATATTCCAACTCGAACTGCGAAGAAGAACATAATGATAGTAATAAAATACAGAATTTACTTTTTTAGAAATTAACTATACCTACTCATAGTTATTCACGAAGTGGAATGTACAATTTTGATAAACAGTATTTTTTTATTATCTTGGAGATGGTTGCTCCCAAAAGAGTGTTTACAATTGCTATCCAATTCAAACAAAATAAATTGAATTTATGTGATATGGAATAATTAAAAAAAAAGATATCGTCGCCGAGGGCTCGAACCATCGACCTTCGTATCCTCGCGCAACAACCCTAACAGTTGCTCTACATCAGCTAGTAATTATAACAGTCAGTCATAATACCTTGAGTAATTGAAGAAAATCACTTCAAAAAGGAATTTGGATTCTATTATTGTTGTGTCAAATATGCAAACTTTTTAAATTACACATGAAACGTCCAACCAGAATAAAATTGTCTCACCTTTCGTACAAAATATCTCACTAACGCGAATTATAAGTAAATAAAATAAAGTAGGAACTCAGGTTATTGTCTCAGATTTGAATCCAAAGCAATCTTGACCAGACAGGGTGTCAAAATTTTATCGCTGATAAACGAGGTTTGTTGGTCACGTGTGGGTCAATTCGGCTTCTGTATTGGTAGAGCAAGTCCGATAAAATTTAATAAACAAAAAATATCGCTAGAATACAGAAGAAACCGTGAAAATGGTCGATTCTGATTGGTTCTCGAGATCAAGAGTGGAATAGTCAAAGTTATACCATCCAGTGACTCTAGCTACCGCCTGAGCAGAGAGAACGCAAGACATAAATCGCGTGGGGAGGACGTTTATTGCATATGCGGACACTACATGTGTCAACGCACGGACTGAATCCACAGAACTATTGTTTCAGTTCTGTGACTGAATTCCTTATTCATCTCTGATTCAACGATTTTCAAGGCGTCAGGATCCAGGATGACACAGTGTTTGTGAATCTGTGCGGCACGCCGATGACTCGGGTTTGACCCCATGCATTGTTATTTTGTTATGAAATAAGTCATTATAATGAGAAATAATGATGGAAGTAAGATATGGTGTAATTACTGATGCGGTTTTGTTTCAGAAATTTTACTTGACCTCTAGAGAACAGCGAGAGCAATGGTTCCGTCGATCTCCTAATAGATAGCGACATTGCACAATTATAACATCTGTCAGTTTTGAAATTGTCGCAGATTCTTCTAATTGAGAGTTGAATAGTCTCACTGTTACATATGTTCCAACATATGTTCCGCGTACCTAAAATGCCATTTGCCATTTTATTTCCGCTCGTCACAGCAGCAAAAGCAGCATCACCGTCTAGCGGGAAAATGTAGAATCAACGTCTCGCTCGTTGTGACGTAGAGAAATCATAGTAGGCGGTCGAGTGATTTTTCTGAAATTTTCAATACATAATAATATCCGAATGCGCGCACCATATCTTACTTCCATCATTTGAGAAAAAAATCATTATAATTGGAAAATAAGTCATTTCGATGAGGAAAAAGTCAATATATAATGAGGAAAAAGTCATGTTTCATTAGGATCAAATGTGACACTTTGTTTGACAAGCAAGTCAAACAGACGCACTTCTGGTCCGAATGAAACATGCCATTTTTTCTGCAATGGGTTGCGTGCAAGAACTGTCAGATGACCGACCCTGGAGGCACAACATTGAAACACAACCTCACTTTTCTTATTTGTTTACAAATGATTGAACTAGTTTTTCACAATTATCTTGGCATAGGAATCGCATTTTTCGGCTATTCATTAATTAGCTTATGCCATCACATTGTTACGAAAGCGTAGAAGGCTCACGTTACGTTTTTTTTTAAATAGACAGTTGTAACTGTCTAAATAGACAGTTGGCACTGTCTAAATAGACAGTTGTAACTGTCTAAATAGACAGTTGTAACTGTCGTAAATAGACAGTTGTAACTGTCTAAATAGACACTTGCAACTGTCTATTTAAAAAAAGCATTTTATTGGAATTACGGGTGATTGAAGCATCGATGTACGTTGCAAACGTAAAATCGTCATATTGTAGAATAGTTTGTCTACACCAACGGGATCAATAATTTGGAGCAGGAGACGAACCATGTCTTGTGTAACTACTAAATTATTCTGAAGGCATAAGGCATCCATCGGTATCCATGTAATTCTCCATGAGTTTTTGTATTATTTATAATAAATTGTTGAATCTCTAGGATGTCCGTCAAATTCTTTCTTCTGAAAAATCCCAATTTGTGTAATTTTCGTTTGAGAGTGCTTAAACTAATGTTGATATCATGATTGAGAGCCAAACTGGCCAAAATTTCAGCTTGTTGGAATCCCATCAAATAGAAATAAAATCTAATTAAACCATCATCCATTTTACTTTTACTATAGAAAAACTACCATCATCGTTATACACGCAATACACACAGCTCCTATTAGTTAATTATAGTTATCAGCACGTGTTTTTATTTGTTCTATTATGTTGTTCTGTTATTGTAGGTCGGACAGAGGACAGGGGAGTCAGTATTCACTAGTCTATAGATATCTATTTAGACAGTTGCAAGTGTCTATTTAGACAGTTACAACTGTCTATTTAGACAGATACAACTGTCTATTTAGACAGTTACAACTGTCTATATAGACAGTTACAACTGTCTATTTAGACAGTTACAACTGTCTATGTAGACAATTACAACTGTCTATTTAGACAGTTACAACTGTCTATTTAGACAGTTACAACTGTCTATTTAGACAGTTACAACTGTCTATTTAGACAGTTACAACTGTCTATTTAGACAGTTACAACTGTCTATTTAGACAGGTTACAACTGTCTATTTTCATAGACAGTTGTAACTGTCTATTTTCATAGACAGTTGTAACTGTCTATTTAGACAGTTACGACTGTATATTCAGACAGTTCCAACTGTCTATTTTCATAGACAGTTACAACTGTCTATTTAGAGGTTATTATTGTGTTACCTGGGAACTTATTCCCTATATGATCATGAAAACACATGAACTTATGAAGAAAACATTTAATTATTTTAACATTTATCACATTCATTTTAATAACAAATCTTACATTAAAATATGGGCATTCCACAAAAAATAATGGAATATCCATAGATATAAACTAATGAATAGGTTTAGATTAGAGGCAAAATTTGAGAACATAAATATTCATCCAAAATATTAATTTGGAAGACAAAAAATGGTTATTTCACGTGAAACCAAATACACCTAGTTAACAATGACCATTATTCACATAAAGTTGAACAATATTCAATACTGTATAAGAAATGGGCAGACATGCCTATAATTTGTAGCAGATTAAATTGATGAGTTTGACTACGTCATCTGGTAGATATTTTATGATTTATATTAGGTACCTATTTTTTGATCGTAATTCTTTATTTATTCCCTGGTTGGCCACCAGTTTTTGTATCAAAGCTATATGCATGGGATAAAATATTTCCAAATACTTACATAAACTGTTTCATATAAAATATATATTATATCAAGAGCGACCACCATTTTTTCATATCAGATAAGAATAATCGTTCTGCTAAAACATGTTCACATTACTCATATAAGTTGAATAGGAATATAATTTTCGAAAATTTAATAGAATAACATTTTCCCTAGTATGAATATGAAAGTTTTACTTAACTTTGACTGCATCCGATAATGTTGTAAGTTAGGTAGTACCTACTTTACAAAGAATCAAAAAAATAAGTATAGTGACATTAGCATTCCATGAATTTCAAGTCCCTTATTCTTTATGATTATAAATATTTATATTTCAACCAGTTAGGTAGGTATGCATTTACTGAAAAAATCAATAATTTCAAGAATGAAATATACTTATAGTTTGAAATAAATTATGGAGGAATACCAGACAATTATTTTTATTATACAGGGTGTCCCATGACATAGCTTAAAGGTATATTCCTTTACAACTTCAAGTCGAAAGTGCCTTATACACTTTTGATGCCAAAACTCTATGCATATGGTTGAGAAATAATGAAATGTTTCGTTCCAAATTTTCCTCCTCCTCCCTACCTCCTCTCCCTATCTTCACTAGGTACGCACGATGTAAGTCGAACATAATAGGATTTTCCTCTCGTGCGCTCCAAGAGATGAGAAAAGTTAGAGGATTTTTAGTTATACAAGGTGATTCTAAAATAGGTGGTCAAACTTAGGGAGTATATAGAGTGAGTGAAATAATTACGAAAACCTCGGTAATATTTTTTTCTGAAGTGCCCCCCAAGAAAGATACAGCCCCTCAAAGGGGGGCCTCGGAGAATGATTTTGTACTATTATCTCCAACACCTTGTATGATGAAAATCTAAAATTTTGTGTATCCACTAACTATTCAGTGCCGGTTCGAATAGATAGTTAAAATCACCTCAAAATTAAATACAGGGGTGTGTTAAAATAGGGAGGTAGGGGGTAAAAATAACCCCAACTTTTTTGTTCATCGCAATTTCAGTTTTTTGACATGAAATTATGAAATCTCAGGGCTATCAACATAGGAAAGGAGCCCTTGTTGGATCTCGATAAACTGAACCATAAGCGAATAAAATTTATTTTTCCAAGATTTCATTTAAATTGCAATTTTGGTATGCACTTTAGTTTAATCATCTAGTTCAAATCTTGCAACTGAATTTTCACCTACTTCTAATCGTCTGATCAACTTGGAATCTGGCAGATGAAAGTTGACAACGCGTTATGGACTTTTTGATAGAAAAAAATATGGCGGCTCCAATGTGGCTGACCAGATTTGTGATTATGGTTCGATTCGATTCAAAATTGGTTTGTAAGGGTTTTTGGGGTTGGAAATTTTGAATTCATTGTCGGAATTGATGAATTAACAATAGACGACGAGTTTCGTGATTTTGGTCTGATCCTATTGAAAATACTAAAATGAAAAATATTTTTAAAAACAATGTTTTTTTTAAATTTTATTCGCTAATAGTTAATTTTATCGAGATGCAACAAGAGCACCTTTTTCATGTAAATAGCCCTGAGATTTCATAATTTCATGTCAAAAAACTGAAATTGCAATGAACAAAAAAGTTGGGGTTATTTTTACCCCCTACCTCCCTATTTTGAGACACCCCTGTATTTTATTTAGAGGTGATTTTAACCCCATTCGAACCGGCACTGTATAGTAAGCGGATAGACAAAATTTCAGATTTTCATTATACAAGGTGTTGGAGATAATAATACAAAATCATTCTCCGAGGCCCCCATTTGAGGGGCTGTATCTTTCTTGGGGGTCACTTCAGAAAAAAATGTTACAGAGGTTTTCGTAATTATTTCACCCACTCTATATGCTCCCAAAATTTGACCACCTATTTTAGAATCACCTTGTATATTCCATAATATAAGTTTGAAAGTCCATGAAATTTGAAAATAACGGATGTGTATGTATACACGGTACAAGCATATACTTACATACTTTATCTCATTATCACGACTATACGTGACACACAAAAATTTATCAATTACGAATAATTGAAGAAAATTGAATAATCTTCATTATTCTATTATGCTATTATTTTTACCAAAATGGACCCGTGCTGAGCTATTTGAAAAAAACAAGATTTTGGTACACATTTTTGACATTTTCGAAGTTATTTCCTCGAGGATTTCAAAGTCGCAAAATGTTCCAACTGTCCAACGCCCCAGAAACTAAAGCTCCGTGAATTATTTCCAGGTAACACTACCTGACCACTGAACTATTTGTGGTTTATCTGAATACAATACTTTTCATGGGTCCTCAAAGATAATATAGTGGGCAGGTGACCTCGATGGCCAAAAAACTGGGCCACCTCTTGCAATCTACTGGTGAGCGAAGTTGTTATTCAACTGATCATAAATCCTTAACTATTAATTGAGTTTAAGACAGAAGTGTATAAAACACTCTCAACTCGAAAATGCTCAAGGAATATGCCCTTAAGCTATGGCCCACTGGAGTGTATAAAATAGAAAACATAAGTAACTATCGCTACACCATCGTTATTATTGAAACATAATTGTGTACATTACTGTCATCTAGTGTAGGTACATTAGCAAACTAGCACTATATTACCCTTCTTTGAATTAAAAAAAAAGAAAAATACAATTGAGTGGGTAGACGGACCACGACGGTCAATAACCTTTTGGATTATGTTCTAAATCAATGAATTACAGGGTGGGCAAAATTGGGCGTTTTCACAGCCTATCTCAATAATAAAAGGAGTTATCGAAAAACCGATATACATGTTACGAGTTCGATTCAAGAGAAACCTTAAATGGTGTATTCGGAATTCCGATATATTCATTCGTTTCAGAGATACAGGGGGAAATTGAAAAATTGCCGATTTCGTTTTCATTCTCTGTGTACTTTATGGTGGGGAATATTGAAAATTTTCGAAAGTTCATTCATATAGTATGATGCGAACAATCCATTGGCATCATTATAAATTTTATACAGGGTTACATTGAAAAGATACGGCAGCCAATTATATTCTTTCTTATGGAATTCCTCGTATATTTTGGCACAGTTAGATAGTCCCAGGCGTTCCAATTTCAACTCTACCTTTTTCTTCCACAATTTCAGAAATATTCGCAAAAATATATTCAGCGTCTCACATTTTTCAGGGTTACACCTCCGTATCATCCGCAATAATCATTGAGGTTGGATTCATAAATTCGCAACTGTGAGAGAGATGCCAATGATACACTCGAGGACCTAGGGGGAATAACTCCAGTGATAACACTGCTCGCCACCAGCTATGGAATCACCGACATTTCTGGAAAATGCTATCAAGAGGAAGGCTATTGATTGAAAATGACACTCTGTATATATTAACCAAAGGAAGATTTCTAAGAAACCATATATATCGTCGAGATCACCAAAATGCTGAAGAACTGCATGAAGACGTTATTTCAGCATTGCAAAAAGTGACATGCTTAGGTTTGCTTAGGCCAGAACGGACGACAATTTGAACATCTACTAATTTCCTAATTAGGTAAATTATTATTTGTCTCATTTCTGTATCTTAAATAGTTTGAATGAATTGATAACAATGATATCAAATCGAATAATTCCTCTTTTTCTTTTTTTCTTATCAGATATTCATTTAACTAGAAATAAAATATTTGAATTGAATTTTCATTGATATTTATTTTCCTCCTTTGGTTAATATATACAGAGGGTCATTTTCAACTTATATACTTTCTCTTGATAGCATTTTCCAGAAATCACGGTTATATTCCATAGATGCTGGCGAGCAGTGTCATCACTGGAGTTGTTCCCCCAATGTCTTCGAGTGTATCATTGGCATCTCTCTCATAGTTGCGAATTTATGAATCCAACCGCAATGATTATTGCGGATGATACGGAGATGTAACCTTGAAAAATGTGACACGCTGAATATATAGTTGCGAAGTTGTGGAAGAAAAAGGTGGAGTTATATATATATTTGAAATGAGAACGTCTGGGACTATCTGACTGTGCCAAAATAAACGGGGTGTTCCATGAGAAAAAATATAATTGGATGCCGTATCTTTTTGATCTCACCCTGTATAAAATTTATATCGGTGCCAATGGATTGTTCGCATCATACTATATGAATGAACTACCGAAAATTTTCAATACTCCTCACCATAAAGCACTCAGAAAATAAAAACGAAATCGGCTATTTTTCAATTTCCCCCTGTATCTCTGGAACGAATGAAGATATCAAAATTCCGAATGCGCCTTTATAGGTTTCTCCAAAATCAAACCCGTAACATGTATATCGGTTTTTCGATAACTCTTTTAGTTATTGAGATAGCCTGTGAAAACGCCCAATTTTGCCCACCCTGTACTTATATGATTATTACAATTGAGTATTGCGTTATCGAGTTTGGATGAAAAATTACACTTTTTTTCATAAAAACCCGTATTACATCATTTTTCTTTTAGAACCTCCAGTTATGGATCAATTAATAATCTAACATCAAGAATCCATTTTAGTCAAAATTAGTAATTTGAGCAATTCTTAATGATAACGAAGTTCCCAATAACTGTGGACATTTAGTTTGAATAATCCCGTCGTTGAGTATAATCTGTATATATCTACTAACTACCTATCTGTGACAAAAGAGGCAGTACTCTGACATTTCAAAACATTTTGTTGGTTGGTTTTCATGCAGGAAATAGGAAAAATTATATATAGTTTGACCCAGTATAAAACAAACTTTAGGTCTTTTTACAATGACTATATTTCATTATAGTCACTACTCATAAATAATCAGTGTCTTAAGTTAAATTAGTTTTTTCAATTTTAACGTAATCAAAAAAGACATCTCTGGTTCACATTCATCAAAATGTGCGTGGTAGTTTACCAGAGACCTTCAACGCGTCTGCCATAGAATCTTTCGAGCAATATTTCATATTTCTCTTTCCATAATTTGTCAGTTGGAATTATCACATTATCTGTAGCACATTATCGCAACATGAACTCAAATATAGATACATACCTACCTTATATAATGTTTCTATCCTAGTTATTTATCCCTGATATTCTCGGACGATATATATTCACTATAAACTATCCAAGTCCTAAAACGATACAACTGATAGAATATATATTATTCCTTCAGGATCTTATAAATCAGTGAAACATGGCGATATTTTCATATACAAATACTTAGATGAAACGGAAACAATTTGATGAATTGTCATTCTGAAATTTATCATAGAGGATAGATATCAGCAAAACATTAACCAAATGAAATATACAAAAACTGTAGACCCACGACGAAAATTGGGGTGACCGCCGTTGCATAAAGAATTCTATAGACCATCAAATATTCCAGCTGGTTAAGTATATATAATATATCTATGGGAACGCGTGATTCAGCTGAAGAATCAGCAGAATTGATTCCAACCAACCCATGGTAGTATATAAAAAAGAGCAGTTGATCAAAATAAGTTTCATTCAAGCTCGATCCTACACATTCGACACAATGACAGAACGGATTTTATACGAATATTTATAAGTACACATTTTTCAACTCATTGGTTGGTGCTTTAGAATCAATTCCATCATCTACCAGAATTTCTAGGATAGCTTCAAATAACGTAGTCTAGATTTTATCCGTCCGCTAAACTAGGTGTCACCCACCCATACTTATCATGAGTCTTCACCAACGACCTGAAGCTCTCTTCGGCTGTACGTCTACTGAACACTTTTTGGCCTTTGTTTTTTCTCTGTATTCGTCCTTGACCTTTCACCACACTAGCAGCAAACTGCATGATAACTGCTTCCACCGTGTAAGCGCTTGCCCATCCTCTGGGAGTGAGCAATTCCATACAAATCGCACCACCTTCCATAACGAATCCCTTTTCTATCCTAGGCGATATAACCCGCATGAAAGGTGGCGCGAAAGGGAAATTTTCCGGAAATATCAGGTGTAGAAGGATGTGATTTATTCCCAGATCCCTCATATCGATACCCAAGTCACTTTCACCGTCCACTTTGAAGAGTTTTACGTGCCACTCGAAAAGGTTGTCGTCTACTAGCTCTACCGTGAACACCGGGTCGGTTTTGGAGTTTTGGAACCTTTGGAGGTCCCTGAGTTCCTTCATGAGCCTCCTTGCTCTGACCGTCTTGTTTTGAGCATCGTCTCTCTTGCCTTTGGAGCTGAAACATGGGCTGGCCTGAGATGTAGCTGCCGGGGAAACTGTGTCTCTACAACCACGGAGGATTCGTCTTGCTGGTGATCCACTTCCGGGAGTACTCGGTTTACTTGGACCTTCTCCGTCTTTCGAGTTGGTGGACTTGAATAGTTTCCGGAATAGGCCAGATACTTTTTCCTTTGAGCGACTCATTTCCACCTAGTTTGAATGTATTGGAGAAATGTAGATCATGAACGTCTCTTCATTGTCATAACTGAAAAAATATAAAATAATTAGTATATGGTGATGTTATTGATGGTAATATATGTATCAAACATAACATCTAGCAGCATATTCTCAAATCACTTCAAACCATTCCGAATCAATATCATCAGTTAGGTATCTGCACCAGATGTTTGCTTTGCGCTTTCAAAGGGTCTGTGAAAGGTGATGAACATGGCACAATAAAGGATGTAAAGGTTTTGTTCTTTTCAATTCCATCACGCATTCTTAACAATTACCTTCGCATGGTGAACACGATTTTACTTGACTGAAATTTCCTTACACATCATCAGGCAGATAAATTATTATCAACTCAGGAATAGGTATAGTGTATAGTATCTCTATTGTAGAGCAGTTTAATATGAAATCAATGCAGACTGGATCTGTTATCTCTGCAAACAGGATTAATCAAGTTATTGATAAACATGTTCTCATGTTTACTTCAGAAAATCCTTTGGCATTATGTCGTGTTCAGTTAGACCACAACAAAATAAATCCTTTGATGAAATTGAGAAAACAAACAACGCTCAGGGATATTTTCGCAAAAGACCTTGAAGAATATAAAATAAATTGCAGTATATTTTCAACAAAGATATTGACAATGGCGGTTTAGGTACTTAGTGAAGTAATTATTAGAAGCCACCAGATAAATTCGACTTTTTTGATGCAATGAAATCTAAGATAATATGCGAAAAGGTAAAGGAACAGTAAAATAATAGAAAATGGAATTTAAGGAAAATGTAGATTATTGTTAATGTGTTTTTCTTGATCATCGATTTTGGAAAATTGCTAAGAGACCGCATTTAATACAGGCAAATGATTGTTTTACGGTGCAAAAAATCCAATAGTCGATTTTATCCCTGTTTCGTAAGTTTTTTGGGTTGCGGAATCTGGATCTAGAGTTATCCATCGAAATTTTCTAGTGCGTTTCGATATATTAGCAGTCAGTCACATTTTCGCCCTTCTTTTGGTTTTTCTCGTATAATACCATTGAGTATGTGCTGTAGCACAAAACAAATCCTTATTCAAAGAATATTAAATTAAATACTGTCTGTAGGTTGATCGAGGAGGTGGTACATGGTACATTCATTATTCCAGATTTTTTGGGATTTTCTCTACTCGTGTCTATAAAATAAAAATATGAATATTATTTCAATATAAGTGTATAGTAAGGACAAATCAGATGATTTGCCTCAAAATGTCACTGCCTTCAAATAAATTTCCTATCAGAGAGTCAAAAAATAAAATTCACCAGCTAGTCAGTGACAATTTGTATTGAAAAAGGTTTGAAGAAGAGAAATGAAGGTATTGATATAGAAAGAATGGATATTTGTATATTGAAATAGTATTCATATTTTTATTTTATAGAGACGAGGAGAGAAAATCCCAAAAAATCTGGAATAATGAATGAACCACCTCCTCGATTAACCTACAGACAGTACAATATAAGATACTGATAATTCAGATAACATTTATTGAGATATCGTTTCCTACTAAGGGTGTTATTCGCATCACTATTCCAATGAAAATTACTATTGGCAAAGAATATAAAGAGGAGTTACAGGAATTCTTGACACACGAAATCAGTCCCTATTCCAGGTCATTGTTCAACGAAGGGATGATGTAAAATAGGAATGAAATAAAGTCTATACAAGTGTATCAACTCTATGCCACGAACCACATGCAGTAGCTGTGGAAATAATTCATGTGACTGATGGGACTTCCTGCTACATAGGCTATATTTCGAATTCAACTGGTCATCAGTACTGTCAGTAAATCCACTGACAGTACTGTGATCTGCAGACTTGTGTAGTATTCGAATACCCAGTATTCTGAATCCTATTCTGAATACATTTGGCTGGTATTCGAATACTATTCGAATACATTTGGCTGGTATTCGAATACTATTCGAATACATTTGTGTATTTGGTATTCGGTATTCGACTGAATACTTTTTTGGTCAGTACTCGGTATTCTGGATTCTGAATACCGTTTTTGAATCCCAGTATTCGAATACCCACTTTGTATTCGAATCCCGGTATTCGAATCCTGTATTCGAATCCCGATATCCAAATCCTGTATTCGAATCTCGGTATTCGAATCCTGTTTTAGGATACTTTTCGATTATTTCTATGAATATTGCGTAACGCTTAAACGGAGAAGTCGCGATATATTATTGGTCGATCATATATTGCGACGGCTCCGGCTGAATTCACGATGATTGCCCTTCATCGTTGATTGATATATTACGCTAGCGTAATATATCAATCAACGCCTTCACCCATTTTTTGCCAATGGTGCGTATACGCACCGGCCTAAATCTCATTTTTTTTTAGTAATTCTAAGCAAAAGTTTTCAAGATATAACTCTATATTACCGTCGTCTACTCCAGTAGAACGATTGTTTTCGTTTGCGGGTGTGGTAAAGGAAATTCTTAATCTTTATGTTTCTTTCTGATGGGTGTTTTTTTTTCTGTTGAAGTACTAGTCTGTTTTTATGCGATTCCTATGTTTTATTTGAAATTGAATGTATTTTATTTTCAGTTTTATTTATTATTTGAGATTATTTTCCATTATTATCTTGCTAAAAAATTATTTTGTGTTACCTTATTACTGTTATCCAATGTACCAAAGTACTTTATTTTAAGTTTCATTTATAAATTGAATATCGTTTCATTTTGAATAATTCTTCAAATAAAACTAAGAAATAGAAATTATTAAATAATGATTCTTATTTAACCTCATTGTGATAGATTTTCTATTTTTTTATATATTTTTATAAATTAACTACATACATAATGCGCAAATGTTTTTTTTTCCAGTTGATGGAATATTCATGAAATATTCATATGTGAATGAATGAATCTTGAGTATTCGAATACAATTTAGAGTACAGTATTCAGGATTCGTATTCGAATACCGGATTTCAGTATTCGACCCAAGTCTGGCTGATCTGGAATATGAAATCAAAAATTAATTGCTGATGTAATTCGGAACACGTTTTCATGGTTTTCATCAATTTCATCAGTAATCAGCAGCAGTTCATCAGCTGGTGAAATTGAATATCATAATAAGCTTCAATTATTTTAATAACAGACATTTTCTGGTATATATGATATTATTAATTTATTATTGATGAGACAAGACTCATTGTTTCAAAACAAGCACATTCCTTCCCCCTCTAAAATAATGATAGTTCACTGAAGCCACACTACCTTTTGATAGTCAGTAATTCCAGCAGAATGTTGTGTCGATATATTTGGAATGAATAGTATGCCTGCTCACAAGTATATCTGTCACTTTCAGTGAATTTTGTTGATTTCGGAATGAATAATCAGCAGATTCAGTAGTGTCAGTTCTGGATATTATATGTTGTTGGGAATACTTCCTCAGGCAATGAATTCCAGAGCCTAGCCGTTCTATGGATAAAGGAGTTTTGATAAAGTGCTGTTCGACATCTTTCGAGGTTGACAACGAAAGGATGTGCTGACTGGGCTTGTCTAGTTCGTCTGACTGGTATTGCTAGTGAAGGGATGATAGCAGAGATTTCCGAAGAACATTTCCCATGGAAGTATCGATAGAAAAGTGAAAGGTCGCCGACCATTCTACGGTATTCCAATGATGTCAAAGAGTGAGTGAGTGTGGCGTCACCCACCAGGCGAATGGCTCTTCTCTGGATGGAATCTAAGAGCATCAGCGTATGTTTTGGTGCTGAACCCCATATGTGGGAAAAGTATTCTAGAACAGGCCGTATCTACGCTTTGTAGATCATGATGGAGAAGCTGTTGAGGTGTAATAAGTAGCTTTTCGCACGGAACAAGAATTCGGGTTTTTGTGAAGCAGCTTTTATTTGCGATGGATCTGACAGGATGATCCCATGAAAGAGTGTTGCTGATGGAAATACCGAGCATAGATATGGTGGGCTTGGTGGGGATGGTGGTGCCAGACATTTCAATATCGAGCATACTGAGTTCCGCCTTTCTAGAGAAAATACAGATTTGAGTTTTGGTAGCGTTGAATTCAACTAGGTTATTCTAATATAATTACGTAGAACGTAGATAGATTTTCCAAAAATTCACTTATTTCGATATGAATTAAAAACTATGAGCAATTTTGAAAACTTTTTAAGGCCGTTTGTATGACTATCGGAATGCACAACTTTGTTCCCATTTCCCGAATTCGTATATCTCCTCCCGTTTCCGAGATCCCCCTTGCTATGCAACTTTATCTTGGTCCGAGTCTTGATCACACAGTTTAACTACCATTATAGAATGTTAATTTGTAAATATTCATGATTTGTATTCCGTAGTTTTTTTAGTTCTCATCGGCTTGATTTCAACATTGGTAGGCGTGGTAGTTGCCGAATATTCCTTTTTTTATTTAAAGTGAAAGCGCAGTAGAACATCATTTGATAAAAAATCAGGAATAAAATCGGATCCGTTGGCTATATTATGTGTGCTGGTCATCTGGATGAATCATAAATCATGTACCTATCAGTTTACATGAGTTCTAAATACCACGGTTATCTCAATCAAATATGATAAACCACGTCTAATAGCTGCGCCACAAAAATACTCTGCTTTTACTTTTCAGCATCAATAACTAGCGCATATATTATTATAAACATATTTCATTCCATAATCCGTTAACGATTGGTACATATCGAATTCTATAATCAATATAACCATGCGGAGTGACGTGGGATTTATATGCCAAAAATTAAATAGTGAGCCCGAGAATTGAATCTTGTTCACATCCAATCTTCAAAAACGTTTCAATAAAAAGGTCAAGAATCCCAATGAACTGCAACAATATATAAATATGAATCACATATACCCACTATTAAACAATAAAATCACCCACCAACGCTCACTTGATTTATAATTATTTAGTCATTATAAATAACTGCCACTCTAACGTACGTAATAAAAT